CTGCTGAGGGCAGCGCGTGTCCTGGGTGCTCCCATCCATCCCGCTTGGCTCCGCACAGGTCAGGGCTGACGCAGGCTGAGCCCATGTGCGGCGCTGCCGGAGCGGGTCCCTAGCGCTGTTCATCCGGCTGGAGCTTTGTGCTGCTGCTTCGGCTGGCTCTGCCCGCCCTGGCATCCCTGCATTGCTCCAGGGCAAACCTGGAAGGTTGGGAAGAAGAGGACCTGGGAGAAGAGGACAGGCTGGGAAGCAGGGGGCTGTGTGACACCCCCCCTTTGCTCCCATGAGCTGTTGAGGACCGGGAGAGCATTCCCACAGGAGAGCATCGCCACCGGAGCAAGGCAAAGGGACCAAGAGGGGCTGCTGTGACCCTGGGGCGGACTGGGGGACACCTGCACCAGCAGCCACCCTGTGTGGCCCCTGTTGCTGCACCTGGGGGCTCCGGGTCCCCATCAGTGATCATGGGGCCGGAACAGTCATTCCCACCCTGCCGCCAGAGCGGGATCCTGCGCAGCCGGGCCGGGCTGCGGCTTCTCCGGAAGGATCCCTTCCTGCCCCGCTTCCTAACGCGGCACCATCGTCAGCACCGCTTCCTCGGTGCAGCGGCCGGCGTGTGGAGCAGGGAGGAGAGGGAGGAGGAGGAGGAGGAGGAGGAGGAGGAGGAGGAGGAGGGGCGCTCACGCCACTTTCCTGAGCTCCACGGGGCTCGTGGCTCTGGAAACCCTCCACCTTGGTGGTCTGCGAAACAGCCGGGTCCCCGGGCGCCTCTCCCGCCCAGCGCTGCTGCACGGATGTGCCCAACAACCTGTCACGGGATGAGGGGTCCCTGGGACGTGCCGGGGGCTGGGCCGGGGGTTTTGTTCCCCAGCACTCGGCCTTCCCATGCGTTTTGGTCACCAGCTGAGTCTCTTGGTTTGGCTGCCAACAAACCCAACAAGGTTCAGTCTACGTTGGTCCTGCCTGGGGCGTCACACGAGGAGCCCGGCCCAAAGCTGGGGCTGGGGCAGCAGGAGCGAGGAGATCCCTGCGGGAGGTGCTGGGGCACCCGCGCGGCCCCGCTCGCTCCTGGAGGAGCCTCCGTCCCCGCAGGGCACCGTGCACAGGCGCCTCTGGAAGACGCTGCTTCCCTTGCAGCCGCAGCAGCTCCGCACAGCTCAGGCTGCACTGAGACTTTCCAGTGGCTCCGAACGATGGGACGACGTGTGGAAAAAAACAAAATAGCAGCCAGCTTGAGCAAAGTTTCCAAATAAAGACACGGCTGCGTGCGCTGCATCTGGGGCAGAGCGCGAGGTGCCAGAGCCCTCTCCTCGCAGCAGTTCCCAGTCACAAAATCTGTGTCAGCTCTGCCTCCGTTGTGTCATCCCCGTAATTAGCTCCTTCTATTTTTTCCCCCTTGCAGATGGAGACACAGCCGGCCGGGGCCATGGGAAGCCAACTCGTGCTGGCTGCTTGGCTTTGAGAACTGAATTCCATAGGCGTTAAAGCATCCAGAAATGCCCTATGGATTCAGTTCTGCAGTTGGGCAGCAAATAAGCTTCGAAGCTTCAAGACGAGAGAGCAGCTGGGAGCAGGTCCTGTGGGGAGAGGGCAGCTCCTTACTCCAGCACTGGAAAGGTCGGCATGGAGGTGAGTTACGGCCACCCCAGGAAACCTGGTGCCCAAAGGCCACTTGTTTCAGGCTTTCCCTCAAGCACCTGTGGCTGGAGAAAGCGGTGGGAGGGGGCAGCCTGACTGCAAATGCTTCTTCTCTCTGGAAATGGAGTGGCACTCCAGAAAATAAACATCTTGCTGTCTGCTGATTTATTGTACGTGACTGTAAACCCGTGCTAAAAATAGGCATGGCCAGAACAACGGCCTGGGTGTGCCCAGAAACCTCCCGTGCAGAGTCCGGGCAGCGAAACCAAACAGAACTTTGGAGAAGATAAACAGAAGAAGCCCAGGAAAGCTACAGGCTGTGCCCACTCCCTCCCTGCCATCCCAGGAGATATCCCCCGGAGAAGGTTGTGGGTGCGGAAAGCGAGGAATCAGCAAACACCCGCAGCAGGTATTTGGGCTGCTCAGCAGCGTTCCTGCACGCAAAGCTTTAGCGGCCACAACTGGCTTTTTTTCCAGGAATCCTCTGGGGGACCTTGGCCAGCTGCCTCGAGTTTCAGTGTTTTCCATTACAGCACAGAGCCGTCCCCAGGCGCTTACGGGCTGCAAGGGTGATGCTGGGACGAGCTGTCCTGCAGGTCTGGCTAGTAGGTGCAGCGCGCGGCCAGCAGACACCCAGCACAGGCCTCCCGCGAGCACAGGACACCCAGAGCAGCCAGGGAAGGGTGAGAATTTGTGACAGAAATTGCTGATTTTTGTCCTGTCCTGGCAAGGGAGGGCAGAGCTGCTCAGCCGTGAGGGGAGGTCTGTTTGGTGCAATTTGCTGCTGTTTGTAACATGGCCAAGAAATAGCAGCTCAGCCTCAGGTTTCTGCAGCAGTCTGGCCGCTTCAGGCCCGTTACTGCTTTATCTAGGCACAGTATTTAGCCGTTTCCAAGAAGCCTTTTGGGGAACGGGAAATCCAGATCATTGCCGAAGCATTCTGGCAGTTGCTTAAGTGAACAAATGCAAAATAATTGCTGCATGAATTAAAAAAATAAATCCGCTTATTTGGCCTTCATAGAAATTCAGAGTCCCCAAGGGCCCCCAAGCCCCTCCTCACAGACCGGACTCCTCCACCAAACCAGGAGCCCCGTTGCCTCCCGTATTAAAAAGCTTCTCTCCCCCCGGCCAGCGTGCGGAGGGCTGCAGGGGGGCAGAGCGGGCCCGTTTCCCCTGGCTGTTCAGAAAGTCCTTGCCGGCCCATAAAGAGGAAGCTGCCGGGCAGCAGCCGCGCTGAGGCAAGACAGGGCGGCGCGGGGCGGCCCGGCAGAACCGGCAGCAACCCCGAAACAGCCAGCGGGACTCGCTGGGGAAACCACCTGCAGCGAGAGGACGAGGAACAGGCCTCAGAGGAAAGTGGATTTGCACAGACTGTGGCAGAGACTCTTTGAGCATCATAGCTCTGACCAGAAGGGTCAGAGGATTCGTGGTCACATCTTGCAACAAAATCCCCTGCCCGAGCTACGCTGTCCCACCAAGGGGAAAGGGCTTCTACAGCTCTGTTAGCCGGGACACCCTCCCTGTGGCTAAAGCATCAGCTGTGGAGGTCCCAGTTATGCTGGAAGTCACAGTCCCAAAAGAAATTTACAGCTCAGGAACAGCCCAGGAAGCTCCGGAGCTAGTAAGATGCCGGGTTAAAGGCTGCCACAGGGAGCAGGAAGGCAGCAGGCCGGAGCGGGAGGCCGAGCCGCCCCTCAGCTCCGCGTGCCACCAGCAAGGGCTGCAGCGATGCTCCTTCCCAGCGCCCTTTCCCCCGCCGCAGGCTCTCCGGGGCATGGGCTGGACTTTCCCGGGAAGCCCACGGCACCGCGCGATGCAAGACAGCAGCGAGGCCTCGCTCCAGCCAGCACGGGGCACGCGGAAGGGGAAGCAGCAAAGAAAAAACTCCCCGTGGCCCTGCAGGGTCTGCTAAGGGCTGCTCAGGGAAGCTGAATCCTGCTGCAGTTTTTCCACAGAAGTTGTTTTTAGTAAGTTAAAAACTTCCTCCTCTACAGCATTCCCAAGAATAGAGAAAGGGAAGGGGGGGGGGAGAAGAAAAGCAGCCTTAGTTATTGCACAGAGTTGCTCTAGTTCCTCAGCTGCTCTCAGGGACCACATACGGGTTTTGATGCCTGAAACGAGCATCTCCCACCAAACACAGCCAGTGCACTAGCACAACAGTTATGTGAGGACCCAGAGCTTTAAACTGCACAGAGGCAGCCGGCTCCAAGGGGCAGGGCCTTGCTCCGAATCAGCCTGCAGTGCTTGAAGCCTTTTCCTGCCCTTCGTGAGAGCCACTGAACTCCCACAGCTCAAGGGATAGGATTCCAGCTGCATCCTGAATAAAGCCAATGCACAGGGGATGAGTGTCAGGATGACATTTCCATGGGATCTTGCCATAAGGACTGTGCTCAGTTACAAACGACAGCAAAGACAGAAACACCTACCTAAAGGAAGAGAGCGAGCCACACATCATGTTCCCAACTTGGATTGGCTACTTTTTGAAAGGTACCCACAGAAAAGACTGCAGTCAGGCAGCTAAAAAACTACAAGGATGGCTATTTGCATTTTTTTATTATTGTTTACTAATAATGATTTAAAAGATACAGAAGTTTGCAAGCAAGTCCCTCAAACCCCTCCAGGTTTCCACAACTCCCTGAAGTGCACCCTTCCAAGAGACCAACCCATAGAAGTGCTGTGGTTCACACAACTTCAGGAACTTGGCAGGGGATTCAGCACCTCCAGGCACAGCCAGGTCAGGCTCTAAGTGGGGCCTTGAGCAACAATTTGAACATGGACACATTGCCCGGAGAACCAAGCACCAGATTACCAAGTGTAAAGGGACAGGGACACCAAGATCTTCTGTCAGCATGTAGGGAAGTGCTGTGTACAAGCCTCACGTGGTGATTAAGCACAACAGTATGGTCATAAAACAGCAGTGACAAGGTATACAGGCAATCACCCTTGTTACAGTGCTTAAGAGCTTTCCCCTCTGGGACCTGCACTGCTTCCAACTTGGAGGAAATTCAGCTTTGGTCTCCTTATGGGACTGCCAGGAAGGGGGCCGGCTGCCAGGAGCTTCCCTTGGGCAGTGAAGAGGCTCAGCTTCTACCAAGGGCGGCTGCCTGGAAATCCTCCCCACCGGGCTGTGCTCACTCCATAGATGCTGTGGAAAACAAACACTCATTTCAAGCCAGAACCGAAGGGCTGATCCCCGAGTGAGTCCAACACCAACTTCCTCAGCAGGATGGGCATTGTGCACCACGCGTTACACCAGGGAAAGCTGCCATAAGCTTCTGGAGGACAGGGAGCAGCTAAAAAGCCACCAGCAGTGGTGGTGCCCTTGGTGCACCAAGAGCAGCTGCCAATGGGCTCCCATGAGGGCTCTGGAGCATCTACCCAGGAGGTGACATCAGTGTCTCAATTTCTTCTTCTTCTTCCGATTCCGGTCCTCACTGCTGTCATCTGCCTCGCTGGCACTGGGCGTCAAAGCCCGCTGGATGACTTTTTTTTCCACTGTGTATTCCTGCTCTCCTACCTTGGGGTCTCCTTTGACCAAGAACTCCCCATTCCTATAAGTTATGGAGACGCTGGTCTGTGGGTAGGTGCCATAAACCCTTCGGAGATCATCCTTCACAAATTCTGGGAGCTCTTTCCTTGGTCCAAACACCTTGCTGAGCTTCCCCCATTGAAGCTCCCCCCTCATCGTGAAGCCTTCTGGCCAAGCGTCTCGATGCTGCTCTGGCCTTTGGTAGGTGGTGTAGGGATTATAGGTTGCATAGGGATTGTACAGAGGAATGGGGACCACAGGGGGAAAGTGCCAGGTGTAGTACGGATGCAAGTAGGGATTAGAGGCACTGTAGACGTGATGATACTCCACCTGATTCCCCACATAGTCAGGGTAGCTGTTCCTGTCCACCACGAAGGTGATGGGGCGGCTGTAGAGGTTGTGCACGTGGATGGGAGGGAACATGACGGGGCTGGCTGTGTCATCCACCCTCCCGGCTCGCAGCGGCAGGTAGGCAGAGGGGGGGATCATGGCTGGGTAATACTCCCGGGGCACAAACCCAGACTGGTACATGGTACAGGAGCTGGAGTTACACAGGGGACATTTCTCCAGAGCAGCTGCTGAGTCTCACAAGCTGTGAAAAGAGGAGAACAAAGACCATAAACAATTTTAAACAGTTACCAAACTGGATTTAAATAAATTAGTATCCCCAGCACTGTAAATATAGCAGCTACTTAACCAAAGGAGCTCCCCACATCTGCAGCTTGCAGGGGTTGTAGCATACAAGAGACCAGCAATGCCAGAAACCTCCCCTTAGCTGCTCTGCAAGGCTCATCACTTAACCCACCAGGCTCCCTGGGATACAAAGAATGGGAATAAACTGTCCTAAAACCACTGAGGGCAGAAGAGATGACCTCCTTGCCAGGACACAGCTTTGCACAGTTGGGAGGTAGCAAGAATGACTGCAAGAAGCCAAGGCATCCCTGAGCAGGCAAAAGAATAGGGAATGCAGGCACAAAAGGAAACATCCTAAAAATAAAGCGAAGAGGAGGAAGAGGGGACACAGGCTGGCCCTGCTGACCCATGACACACTCGTTTCACCTCCATTGCCACCCTGCCTGGACAAGCAGCTCTTTTAAACTATCCTCAGGTCCCTCTTTTCCTCCAGCCATACCCAGCCTGGAGCTGGTAGCGAGTCACACATCTCAAAGTTCCACTTTCTGCTTCATCTGGGAAGCGAGAGAGGCATTTGACATCTGTCTCAAGGAAAGGAAAAAATATTATATATATCTCCAAGGACCATGAGCACTTCCTCTGCAAGCTTTCATATTAGGGCATGTTATTTTGATCTCAATTTTCCCCAGAGCAGCCCTTATTTCAGGGTGCAACTAGCTGCCCCACAGCTGCACCCTGCTCCTCGTCTGTCACTGCTGGACAACCCAAGCGCCCTTCAGAGCATTAAGCAACGTCCTCTCTGAGTCACTGTCCTGTCCCCAAGGGCAGGAAGGGAAGTTGTGCATCGCACGAGCTTTGTCCTTTGCTATCAAAAAGCTTCTTAGCAGAGGCAGGAAAGGGCCACGCGCAGAGCTGAAGGAGGTGAGGTTTCCCCACAGCACACACTGACCCTGCAGGTATTTATTTTCTAAGATCACCCCAGAGTTGCCTGTCACAAGGATGCTGACCAAAAAGGGAAGATGAGACTCATCCCCGAATTCAGCATTTTCCACCAGCCTAAGAGGAAATTTGGCGTCCGCAGATTGAGGAACAGCTGCCACCAGCAGTGCCGGGCGCTGCACAACGAGGGCTCTTCTGAACGGCACAAGTTGTTCCCGTCACTCGAGCTTAGTAAACAAGCCCAGCTCCAGCCCGACTGCCACAGGTGCAGAGCTCCTGGACACAGGGGAACGGCACTGAATTATTGATTTAGGCAAGAGCAGGCTGTACCTTTGGGCAGAGGCACAGGATGGAAGGCAGAGCACACTGTGTGCTGCCTGCCCACAGAGGAGGGGAGAAATAAAAGGTGAAGAGCTCTGCTAGAGCCTATACAAAGGCATTAAACAGCTTCAGACAACATAAAGCTCCAATAGCATTGACTGAAGCCGACCCAGCTCAAGGGCAGGATGGTTCCCGCATTTACCCCAGCCCAAAGGCTGCAGCTGACACATGTGGGGTCCCCTGGGGCCATCCTGCATTTTGCCCGACAGCCTCAAGGCTCCAGGGCCTTCTCTGCAGCCAGGGCAGAGCAAGGAGCCTCTGCGCCGACTTTGGGTGCAAGGAGCACCCTGGCCTCCCTGCAGAAGCTGCCAGGAGCCACCTGAAGCCCTGGGTTTCAGTGCCCCAAGCACCGTTGCTGGTTGCTTTGGTTTTGCACTAAAGAGGGTAACGGGGCTATTGCCCTAACAAAGACTCATCTTCACAGGCCCCAAGCCCTGACTTGGCAAGAACGGGCTCTGTTCCTATTACTTGTGTTGCAGTAGGGTTTTGGGACACAGAGGCACGAGGCTCCTGCCCCTCCGGAGCAGTTTGCTCCAAGGTGGTGCCAACTGAAGCCCCCTAGAAGTCCAGCCTTCCCCCCACCCCTGCCCACAACATTTGAGGAAAGGGTCCAGCCCGGATCTCCCTTCCCTTCCTCACCTGCCTCCACCCCTCACGGCTCCCTTGCCAGCAGCCAGAGGCTGCCCTGGCTCTGCCGGCCCTGCCTGCGGCCGGGCTGCACGCCTGCCCCTCGGCCACCAAACTCCTCCTGGCACCACCACGTCGCCCCTCCGGCTTCTCCCCGACCCAGCGCTGCTCCCTGTCCAGGGGGCAGCTCTCTGCTCCCACCACCTGGCCCCAGCCAAGGGGAGAGCCTGGCTCGTCCCCAGCACCACGCGCGCAGGGTTGGCAGGGGGCACAACAAGATGGGCAACCTGAGGGGCTCCAAGACAGCCCAGGGCTCATTGCTGAAGAAACGGGTCAGTGGCAGAGCAGCACGGACATCTCATGTCCCAGACACCCTGCCCCAAGGGTGTAACGAGCACTGCAAGTGGGAACTCGCCACGCAACATCGACAGTTTGCCCCTTCCTCATTGGAAGAGGAATTTATGCTCTACCTGACTCTACTTTCAAGTGCAGGAGAGAAACTGCCCAAGTCTTCCCTGCGAGGGGAATTTCAGCGAGGCAAACGGCCTTCAGGAACAACTGTATGACCCAAGCATGGAGAGAAGCCTGGCTGACCCGTCAATTCAAGCTACCGCCCCCTCTTCCTTTTCAGCAGTTTCAAGCTCTGCTGTGTCTCGGGGAAAGGGATGGGGGGAAGTCACCACATCCATTGCCTAGTTCCTGGATGTCCTCAACAAAAAAGGGCAAGAGAACCCTTAAAGCTCGAGGTGTGCCCTGCTCAGGGCCAGCTCCCTGGTGGCACGGCCCGTGGAGACGGGCAGGCTCTGGAAGCCAAGTCCCCGCAGCCAGGGAGCAACAAGAAGCCAACCCAACAAGGAAGGCCATGGGGACAGACAAAGCAGCTTCTCCCTTCAAACCTTTCAGCAATTTTGGCCTTGCTGAAAAAGCTCCACGTGGCTGGAGCCAAATGAGAGGCATAGAAGCAGAGAGCAGTGAGTTCCCAGCAAGGTCAGAGCCAGCTGAAACGCCAGCACCATCTCTGGTGAGAGATACTTCAAACTCTTCCCCGCGCTCGCCAGAGCCAACGCCAGCAATTCCCTCAGCCACCACTCAGCCATTTGGCAGAGCCTTTCCCACCTCGCACCTTTTTGGAAGCGATGAGGTCAGGCTCCTTGCACCAAAATATTTCATCTGCTGAGCAAGGCTCCTTCGGCTCCGGCTGGCCGAGCTGCTATGGAACAACCAAGTGACGTCTGCCAGAGAGTGCACTGGCTAGTTCAGCTGTATGGAAGAGTTTCCCTACTCTGTTCTGTGGTTATTTACTGCAGGTGGATTTATCACTACTAATATGTATTCAGTCACTAGCCTTGGGCACTTCTATATCTCCAGAAGAGTGCGCTTCCCAGCGTTATAGAGAGGGTGGTTTTGATGAACACATCTCAAGGCAGAGAAGTGCCACTGTCAGCTAAGGAAAGCTGTAAGTCCAGGGGACACATCTGGCAGTTGTGGAGCAGCTTGAGCTCATCTCCACCCAGAAACACAGGTAAATATTCACCCCCATGCCCAGTCCCTAGGAGGGGAATTAAAACAAGCCCGACTAGTGTGGACACAGATCAATATACAAGGAGAGGAGCTTTATAATAAAATCTTCAATATCTGGAGACAGATGGTGACGGTCCAGATAGTCACAATTTCTTTTTCCAGTCTGACATTCCAGTGAGAGCCAGCACGGATACATTTTTTGCCCGTTCGGAGCACTAAGCAAACTGTGCTGTGCCCTGTGCCCTCCAGTCACGGCAGCAGCTTGAGGAGGTTGCCCAGATCCCAGCAGCCTCCTCGGAGCGCCCTGCAAGGCAGTGCCACTGCAGGGGTATTTGCCCATGGGAAGGGACACGGCCATCTATTTTACTTCAAGGACTGACCATGACTGTTCTCAGCTCATTCCACTGTCCTGTGATTCATTCCCAGGAGGGGAGAATAAGTAGATTCAATTTGGATACTCTTCCCCACTCCCTTGTTCCAGCACCCAAACTCTTAAGGCTGTTTCTGGCTTTGTTCCATTCCTGTTCTTTCCCCTGCCCCACAAAAACCACAGGCCAGTTGGCATCGCTCTGTAGCAGCTCCCAAGGGCACAGGGACACTTGAACACTAAGATCAACATTTTCCCTGATCGAGATGATGAAGAATTCATGAGCTGTTTCCAGTTAATCTCCCTTTGAGTGGACTCTGCAGAATAGTTGCCATCTGGCAAAGCCTTTGGCAAGGCCTCCCTTAGAGGAAGAAAACTTCAAAGACTGGAAGCAAGAGGTTAAAACCAGATCCGTCAGACAAGCAGGGTCTGTCTGCACATTCCCATGCGCTCCCAGCCAGCAAGGCCATCTTGCTGCACATTAAGGCCTGCTGAGAGCTTGAGTCATATCAGTCCATGCACTTAAAGCTGCCCCTTTGCTTTTTGCCCGAAATGGCTCTCGGGCAGCAGAGGCTCTGCAGGCAGCAGAACAAGTCCCCACCTCCTTTGCACACCCCAAGCAGCGGGTCTAGCCCGCCCATTCCCAGCAGAACATTATGGATTTGCTCTTCCATCACCAGTATGGATTCATGGGGCATTGCCTGCTTTCCTAAAGGAGATGCTCCTGCTCAGCTTCACACCCCAGCAGCAACACAGGAATGAGAGTACAGCACACACTATCCCAGCCAAGGAGTCCAAGGAGCAGTAAATACTTCCACAACAGGGTTATTATATCAGGCCTGGTACAGCAAGGTGCCCCAGGGAGGCCACTGATTAACAGAAGTGCAAATTATGACTCCTCTTTGCCCAAAGCACAGATATTTGATCTCTTCCTTTGTAGTGCCTAGCAGAAACATCCAAACTAAAAGACTTGAACTGAAAGCAGCCTCCAAGAGGGCTTTGCACTGAAGTGCAGGTACTTTGAACACAAGCTTGGCAGTTCTCAGGAGTGTTGGTGAAGCTAGGAGGAGGAAGGGGTTTGAGATCAGCAGTGCTATGCAGTATTACCACTAGAAACAGGAGAGAGGCAGTCCAGAATCAGTTTGCTAGATTTAGGCTAAAAGAAGCTTATTCTGAACAGCTCAGCAGGACCACAGAAAGCAGCAGCACAGGAGGTAGATGAGGGCAGCAAGGTGGCCTCCAGCCCACCAGGACCCAGAGCTGGACCACAGCAGCCAAGATGATTCACCTTGCCTGGCAGGACAAGCAGCGAGCCCAGCTCCGGTTCTGGTTGCTCCAGTGACCCGTTGGAAGGGGGCTACAAGAGCTACTGGAGAGCTTCCTTGTCTCCTTCCCACCCCACTTCACTCACACACAGCAAGAAGTGCTCTCTCCTGGAAGTGTCCACAGTCCAGCTCTTGCCCTCCACACACACTTCCACCATCACCCACCAAAGGCAGGGAAACCTTTCCAGCAGGAACTGTTTCACTTTGTCCAAATTACTATAGATGCTAGAGCCAACTCAAAAAATAAACAAATAGAAAAACCCACCCCACAACACATAGTTATTTTAGGATGACAAGATCTTGGACACTACCTCACTATAGATGCTAGAGCCAACTCAAAAAAAACAAATAGAAAAACCCGCCCCACAACACATAGTTATTTTAAGATGACAAGACCTTGGACACTACCTTTGCAGGTGGGAATGAGCAGCCATCGTGCCCAGAAGACATTCACACAAAACCTACTGCTTTCAAGTCATCAGTGCTTCCCTCCAAGGGAAGGATTAGAACCATCCCCAGCTCTCCCTCCCAGACCTTGTGCCATAACCAATCCCCTAGGAAGAAAGCAAGGAGACTGCTTCTGAAGCCAGGAGATTGCAGCCCTCACCCAGCTCCCTGAGGGCTTGGTAGTGGTACACAGCCAGAACGAGCTCCAACTGGCACATCAGTAGCCACAGAAAGAGTGATTATTAAGACATATTAGTCACGTCTCACACAAGCCCTTTGAAGGGGGAGTAGTTTTTTTGACTATTCAAAGCAGCATTCCCAGAAAGCACTGAAATCTAGCATGGGTCAGGCATTTATCCGAACCCTGGGGAAAGTCCAGGCTGTGAGGAAGCCAAGAAAAGCCTTCATCAGCACAGAGCAAGTCTTCACTTGTCTCTGATAACACAGCCCCTTGCAGAGCTCCGCTCACACAGCAGTCAGCAGCAAGTTCCACTCAGGGCAAGAGAAGTTCAGAGCTGCCCCCCCTCCCACAGCAGCGGCTGGCTAGGGCAGCCCTGGAAGAGCTGCCCTCCTGGGAATAACACACAGCACTTCCACAGGGTCCCCACAGCACCAGGCAGGGCCCCGGTACCTGCCCCTGCCTGTTCCAAAGTCCACACATTTGGTCACCTCTCCCATTTCTTGCTAGATTATTTTCTTGACACGTCCTCCTCTTTCCGCACTACTAGAGCTCTCCCCTCACCACCAGCACCACAACTGGTCATATCTTCCTAGCAACCAGCACAGCCACTTTTGCTTAAGGACAGTCTTCCTCCTGCGAGGTCCAAGCATCTCCGCCCCATGTCTCAGGATCCTCAGGCTCCCCTTAACACCTTTCCTGGTCTACAGCTCTTTCCCAGGAACACTGCACTTTCTTTAATCAAGCATAATCATTTTTCCCCTGCATACAGTTCTTCCAACCCAGTCTGTTTATTTAGCAGACTTACTGCAGCACGGTACTAGCGCCTCATTCCGGGGCATTTGCAAGTTATTCCATAAGCTTTTTTTAAAGCACTGCTCTTTGCTTCATAAGCCTTTGGCTAGATCAAACAAAGCCCCTACAGTGCTGAGCTTTTCTTTCTCCCAAGCCCTGGGATCTCCTGAATATTTCAGCACAGCCAGTACTAACACATTCTCCTTGCCCAAGGAGTAATCCGATACTCTCCTTCATCCACCACCATCCACCTCCCTTTAGCCAAAACATCTCCATATCACTTAGCTGACGCTTCCAAGCTGGGAGAGCCTGGAAGAATCCCTAATTGCTACTTCGGGACTCAGCTCTTCCCCTTCAGACTGCATCCTTGAGACATAACTGCTTCAAAAGAGTAACTTTTAATGATTAACCAAACACACTACTAAAAAGCGATCAATAATCTAATTAACCAACTATTAATTTATGCTTACAATCATTTTCCATAAAATTATAAAACTAAATCTTATGAATCACACACTACCACCCCTGAATTACAGATATATCAGCCTTCCCTCCAGCACCACTCAACATTAGGGTAAAAGTCTATGCGATCTTTGCAAAGTCTTTTGTCCACCCCCCTTTTTCCCCTGAGCACCACTTTGCTTTACAACCCCACACTCACTGAGTCTAGCAAACCTAGATCTGATGAAGAATCCAGGTTTTCTAGGGAGCATTGCTCCAGCATCCCAATGGGTTTGGGACCACAGGTCAGCTTTGCTGCCATCCACAGGTGCCCACAATGTGACCACCAGCCAATTTTACCCTCCTTTTTTCTCACCTTACTCTTCATTTCCTGACCCCCTCTTTTGCTGGGCTTGCACCTCCCTTCCTCTGTCCAGTCTCCTCCCAACTGAACTCCCCATCCCTAATTATTTTCCCCTGTTGGTCTCAGTTTTGCTACATCCATATCTATGTTTAGCATTTCTGATATCACTACCTAGGCAACCTCAGCCTTACATGGCATTGCTGATAAGGGACAGGTGGCCTTGCAAGCTTCTGCCTTTAGAAAAAAGGCTTCAGACTCCCATATAGTTATCCAGCTCCTATTGGTTATAAGTTGTTTTCTTTACACACCCTAAGACAATTTATTCTACTTTAACCTTGATTTGTCTGCCTAGTTCTGTTTAATGCACTTTCCCATCTCACACACAGATAGCTCCCATGCTGGAACAGCCTGTTTTGGACACAACTTTTGTGCTTTCACAGCATCCTGCTCTCTCAGCTGCTGGATTACAAGTCTTTGCCCCTGAAGCATACAGGAAACTAGGAGATTATCCCATGCAAAGACGCTAACTAGTTAGGCACCCTAGTTTTCCAGGTGGACTTCTCACTTACAGTGAGTTTCCTCCAACTATTGAGGCACACTAACATCCAATGATAATCCAAGACCATTTGTATTTTAATTACTAATTTTAGAACATCCTGGTGGCATACCACTACTGCAATACCTTAAGCTAGCATTAGCATTATTTTAGTGCTATAACTGGTAAAACATTGCAGACTAAACAAGCCTTTGCCCATAAGTACAAAACTAGAAACAAACATTTGCACGACATATAGGTACTCACTTCTGGAATAAAAACTGCCAAGGCGGTATCTTTACTTGGATCTCAAAAGACAAGGAGACATAATCCAGACTCTGCTGCCCCTTCTCACAGATTGACGGACCTTAATAAGGCAGATATGCTTAAAAATATGTATAGACTACTACATCACTTTTTACAAGAGCATTTCTTTAGTAATCACGGCTTTAAAAACCTGTCTAAACATGTCCAGGTAACTAAGGAAAACAGATCAGGAAGCTCATTGCTTCATTGTGTTACATATTCAGTGAACTTTAAACAAACCTGGTTGACTAGGGGCAAAACCACTAAGCTGATGCAAGATGGAAACACTTTTAACTACTGAAGCACCTTACTGAAAAACGGCCCTCAGGCACAAACCCTGAGGCATAGCCAGGGCATGGGCAAAGGGAACTGAAGTCAATACAATCCAGTCAGCCCCACAACAGCAAAAACACACAAATACCCTCACCTAAAACTCAGGGTCTTCCTAAAAGCAGAGAAACTATTTAAACCACTGCTAGCAGCTACCAAATGAAGACAACACTTAAAGCACAACCCACCCCTGGCTACTTTGGGGACAAAAACCCACTCATGGCTTCCAGGCTCCCAAGCACCTTCACTTGGGGTGCCCAGCTACCATTTGTACTTCAAGGAGCCATGGGAATGCTCCCACCGAGGGTATTGCAAGCACCTGTGCTGCCAGGGGCTTCCACAGATATAATCCCCCGTCTGGGCTCATAAAGAGTCTGGCAGGTCTCTGGGTGGTCCCTAGGAGCAACTGGTACTGCATAAGGCACACCTTAAGGACAGCTACTGCTGGATTATTTTTCAGGTGATCTCTTGAGATCACCTACTGGTCACTCTTTGTTTATAAAACCTGTTGACTACAGTCAATTACTGGGCTTTTGCATGTTTATAAGATGGCCTGTTTAAGCAGCTTCACATTATTCTACATGGCTCCAAAATGCTAGTAAGAAATGATACTTCTTTAAAGCTGTCAGTTAGCCTTTTTCCTTTCTTGTGGGAAGTTTTGGTCACTTTTGCTCTGGGAGTTAATGTTGGTTTGTAGACAGAAATTAGAATGGTGCTTGTAGCTGCTGCTGTAAAAGAAAGCACCTCAAAGCGAACATAAATTAACACAGCTTCTTATCCCCTTAGGTGGTTGGGGCACCGTAACGTAACACGGGTCTCCATAGGCGCTCTAGGCAGCCAGGGGGGCCATGGCCGCGCTGTATTTTCCGAATCACGAGCAGTGCTAACCGAGGGAACGGCTCGTTGCCGTGGCGACAGGAGGCCCGGCGCCCAACGAGTCATAGAGTACCAGCCCTCCCCCGGCTAGAAGGGCTAGGGAGAGCCCTTCCGCCCCGCCCCGTGGAGGGGTGCCGCTAATGCGGCTTCCCAGCGGGCTGCCCTCACACAAGATGGCTGCCGGCAGGTGCGCTTCCCTTGCCACGACCCAAGATGGCCTCTGCCCGGGGCGGGGCTGGGGTGGCCGGCGCGCATGCGCGGTGCGGCGGCGC